AGTGTTTCCCTGAGTTCTGCATGCTACTCTAGAATTTTTTTTTTTTTTTTTTGAGATGGAGTTTCGCTCTTTCATTCAGGCTGGAGTGCAACGGCATGATCTCTGTTCACTTCAATCTCTGTTCCCCAGGTTCATGTGATTCTCCTGCTTCAGCCTCCCGTCTGCCACCATGCTTGGCTCATTTTTATAATTTTAGTAGAGATGGGGTTTCACCATTGTGGCCAGGCTAGTCTTGAACTCCTGACTTCAGGTGATTTACCTGCCTTGGTCTCCCAAAGTGCTAGGATTATAGGCGTGAGTCATCACGCTCAGCCTAGAAAATTGATCAAGCCCAAGGAGGGGGTTGTGGGATCCCTGATTTATAGCTGGTCAGTTAGAAGCGCAGATAGAACATCTTGGGACCTGTTGTTGGCATAGGACGTGAAGTGCAGTCTTGGGGACTGAGCCCTAAGCTGTGGGATCTGACACCACTTCCAGCTAGATAGTGTCAGAATTAGATTGGCATACACCCACCTGGTGTCTGCTACAGAACTGACTGCTTGTGTCATGTATAAGGAAATCCCTTCGCACATTTGCTGGTGGATGCCTTCTGTGTTGATAGTTGTTATTGTGGTGTGAGAACAGAGGAAAAACAGTTTGTGTTTTTCCGCTGCTAGAATCATGCTACCTATTGCCTAGTGCTTCAGAATGCTTGTCTCATATATTTTCTCTAGCTTTTTCATCATTTCTGGAGAAGAACATGTTTAGAACTATTTATTCCTTCTTGGGCAAAAGTTCAACTTTAAATATGTTTTTAAATCTTGAATTATTAGTTATGTAATATTTCCAATAAAAAATTTAAAAGCCACCAATGAACCACACTCAGATTGGAGGTAAACATGCTGCCATACTTGTCTTTACATATATAATTGAAACATACTCTTTCGGTTATCTATTTCGGCATAATAGAGCATTCTACAGCTTATTAGCGTTATACAATAGCATATGTTTATTTATTCAAATTTCTGCAAATGGGGTAAGTTCAGAGAGTTCATCTTACCTCTGTCCCATGTGACTTCTCTCGAGATAGCTCAAGTGGGTTTTGTAGATCAGTTTTCAAAGTGGTTGGCAAAAAGATCCATTGGGAGCTCCATTGAGTATGTTGGCTGGGGTCTTTGTTTTCTTCCACATATCCTACCATATAGCCAGTTTCTTACAGCATATTAGGACAGTCAGCTTTTTTTTTTTTTTCTTTAGACAGAGTCTCGCTCTGTCACCCAGGCTGCAGTGCAGTGGTATGATCTCAGCTCACTGCAACCTCTGCTTCCTGGGTTTATGTGGTTCTCCTGCTTCAGTCTCCCCAGTAGCTGGGACTGCAGGCATGCACCACTATGCCCAGCTAATTTTTTGTATTTTTAGTAGAGACGGGGTTTCACCATGTTGGCCAGGATGATCTCAATCTCTTGAACTCGTGATCCGCCTGCCTCGGCCTCCCAGATTGCTGGGATTACAGGCCTGAGCCACCGCGCCTGGCCGTATTTATTTTTATTTTTTGCTTTGAGAAGGGATCTCACTCTGTCACCCAGGCTGGAGTATAGTGGCACAATTGCAGCTCACTGTAACCTCCGCCTCTCCAGGCTCAAGTGATCCTCCCACCTCAGCCTCCCGAGTAGCTGGAACCCCAGGTACACACCAACATGTCTGGCTAATTTTTTATATTTTTGGTAGAGATGGTAACTCACAATGTTGCCCAGGCTGGTCTGGAACTCCTGAGTTCAAGCAATCCACCTACCTTGGCCTCCCTGAGTGCTGGGATTACAGGTGTGAGCCACTGTGCCTGGCTGAAGATCTTTTAATTAAGATTTTCCTTCACGCAATTGTTTTTTGCTTTGGGTTTTTTTTTTTTTTTTTTGTAACCTTTTGTTGAAAAATACATAATTGCAAATCACAGGATCTTAATATTTGTAAAGAAATTTATATGTGTTACTCACAACTTTATTTGTATTCATTTAAGAATTCAAAATATGCTTTATGAAAAAATTTTAACTTATATAGTCTATGTAATTTTTGAGGCACATATAAATTTGTAGAAATTACCATAATAACTCCACCATAAAAGTTGTTTGGGGGAAAAAATGGCTGGGTGTGGTGGCAGGTGCCAGTAATCCCAGCTACTCAGGTAGCTAAAGCAAGAGAATCGCTTGAACCTGGGAGGAGGAGGTTGCTGTGAGCCAAGTCTGCACCACTGCATACCAGCCCAGGTGACAGTACATGACTCTGTCTCAAAAAACAAAGGCTATATTTTTTTTAAACCTTACTTTTTGGAAAAGTATTATTTGATGAGCATATTCCAGATATGCTTCAATTATTCTTTGCAAAATGCTTTATCCAGCAATTTACTCAATACATATTTCATGAGCAGCTATTACATGCCAACACTATTCTATGTACTGACAATTATGGTATTAACCCACATAGACAAAGTTTCGGTCTTTGTGGTTGATTGGAAAGATATAATAAATAAATATATAAATATATAATATTGACAAAAATAACTGACCTGGAGAGAAAAAAAGAGTAGGTAACATATGGAATGACAGATTGGGTTGCTATTTTAGGTAACATCAGGGAAGGTCTCTAGGAGAAGGTGAAATTTGAGCAGACACTGGAATAAAATTAGAGGAGTAAATCATGCAGTTATTGGCATAGGGGACCTTTCGAGGAAGAGCGACCAGTTAAGTGAAAGGCCCTGAAGTAAGATTTTGCATGGCTTACTCAAAGAACATCAAGTCGGTCACTATGAGAGTAGGGCAGTGAGCAGGGAATGAGAGGACGCACAGATGACTTTAGGAGATGACGCTAACCACTTTAGATTGTATTCTGAGAAGGTAAGATACCACCCAAGGTTCATGTACAAAGCAATGACATGCTGTGGCATGCTTTAAGTCACTCTGGCTCCTGTGTCAGTAAACTCCAGGGGAACAAGAGCAGAAACAAGAAACTGCAAAGGAGGCTACGGGCAAAATCCAAGTAGAGATGATGAGGGTTTAGACCACAGTGATAGCAGTCAGGAAATGAGATGTGAAATTTTTGTTGTATTTTAAAGCTTGAGGTGACTGAATCTGCTGAAGAGAAATGTAGGGTGTGAAAGAAAGAGAGTAAAGAATAGATGACTCTAGAGTTTTTGATATGACAACTGGGTGAGTACAGAGATGAAGTATACAAAGGAGCAATAGGTATTGAAGAAATCACGAGATCAGTTTTGGGTATTCATGAATACAGCTAGTGCTCAACTTTACGACCACGATTGGTTCCGACAGACCGGTCGTAACACGATTTGGTCGTAAGTTGAGCAGGCTATATGTACAGTACTGTGAAATGATGTTATAAAAATCTTTAAGGCATATTTTATCATAATTTTCTTTCATTATTGTTATATATCGTAATTTTCTTTGTTCATTTTATGCCATTTGTATCGTCTCTACACCATTTTGTTTCTTATTTTTACATTCGTCGGTTGTTTTTTTTTTTT